CTTTTTGATTTATTGTAGAGATGAGGTCTCGCTGCCCAGGTGGGTCTCGAACCCACGGGCTCAGGCAATCCGCTCACCTCAGCCTCCCAAAGGCGCGGGATTACAGGCTGAGCCACCAAGCCCGGCTTATTTTTTATTTTCTTGTAGAGACGAAGTGTCGCTATGTTGCCTAGACTGGTCTTGAGCTCCTGGGCACAAGCGATCCACCCATCTCGACCTCCCAAAGTACTGGGATTACAGGCAAGTTGCCACCACAGTCTCCTATTGTTCTTTTAAGGATCCTGCTCTGTCCACTGCCCCGAGGGACTATGTGGCTTCTGAGTAGCAGTCTGGGAATCACTTTGGCTGCATGTTCAGGGGACACCTGGTATCCCTCTGCTACTCTTGTGGTTTTGCAGAAGGATGGCCCAGTAAGTGCCTCCCTTGAGAACCTTGGTGTTCATTTAGCATGTCATTTGATACAGAAACCCAGAATGGAATCAGTGTGAGTTGGTGGGCTAGGAACACATGCAAAGACAAATCATCATCAGAACCGAGTCTTTGGGGGCGCCAATGTTGCAGGAAAAGCACTTCTGTTTGCCTGCTGTGTACTTGAGCATGTGTGTGTGTGTGAGACGCGCTTGCCACAGACGCTGTGCTGAGTTCTCTTCTTTCTCCCCTGTAGAGAGAAGACACAGTTCAATGTGTAGACCTTCTCCCTCTCCAGCGTCTCCAGCCTCTAATCCTAGAACATCACTAGTACAGGTGAAAACAAAAGCCTGTCTCAGCGGCCATAACTCTGCCAGCAGCGCCTCAAAGCCATTCAAAACGCCCAAAGACAATCTACTTACCTCCAGCAGCAAACAGCACACGGTCTTTTCTGCGAAAGGATCAAGGGATAAACCATGGTGAGTGTTGGGTGCTGGCAGCCAGTGGCTGTCTGTCCTCATTGCTTGTCCCTGTCACCACAGGAAGCAGTGTTTACCCTCGGCTTTGTTCCTGGGCATCATATCCTAGAATTTGGGAAACTGAAGAGGGAAGGGACAGCAACCCAGAAGGACAGAAAGATAAACCTAAATACTAGAGGAAGCATGGCACCTTAAAAGTACCCTATGGCCAGGCATGGTGGGTCATGCCTATAATCCCAGCACTTTGGGAGGCTGAGGCGGGAGAATTACTTGAGCCTAGGAGTTCGAGATCAGCCTGGGCAACATAGAGAGACCTCATCCCTACAAAAATAAAAAATATTAGCCAGGTGTAGTGGTGGTGTGTGCCTGGAGTCCCAGCTACTCAGGAGGCTGAGGGGGAGAGACCGTTTGAGCCTAGGAGGTTGAGGCTGTGGTGGCCACCATTGTGCCACAGCACTCCAGCCTGGTTAACAGAGTAAGATTCAGGAAAGTGCCCTTTGTCTGACAGGGGATTTTTTTTTTTTAATTCCCTTGAGAACAGAGCCAAGTTGTGTCTGAGAAAAGGGTAACAGGGAAATATTCCTCAGTTATATGGTCACCTCTCAATTTTCAACCCCAGTGAAGAAAAGCCCTGGTATAAATATCAAAAGCACAGATAGTCTTCCCAGCAGGGATTGAGCCCATGGCCCTGCCTCCAGCCCTCAGCTGCCCATGGAGCCCCAGGTCATGTGCAGTAGCTGCCAGCAGAGACAGGGAATTGGGAGCTGATCACAGGAGAGAAAGGAACACCAAGGAGAAGGTCGCCCTGTGGGTGGGGTGAGAGACAGCAGGTTTCAGGTGGTTACGAAAAATCAGAGGCTTTTAATTCATTTTGTTACCTCAGCCTTTATCAAAAAGACAGAAAAGGTTACCTGTAGAATGAACAGGTAGGAAGCCAAGGAAGATGAACATCTTCAGATGCTGACGACACCCAGCATGGAGCATTTAAGGTCTGGCTTACAACAGCACCTCTAACCTTATCGTTCAAGCCTCAGGAAGGCAGTGTGAAGTCCCTCTCTTTAAACGTACATTAAAGAGAAAAAGCATTCCATTAATTAATGAAAGTTAATTGCACTTAAGTTCGTACCTAAGAAAGCTATGTAATAAAATCATCCATCAATGGGTTTGTCACTGCACACTGGAAATTCTGATGACTTAGTAAAGAGCTAATTATGCCAGATCAATTAAAGTACCTCTTGCAATAGAGTGGAAAGGGTTAGACATGGCTGTTGAGTTACTCTCCATGTGGCTGGGCTGTGTGGACAAGCTGTTCTCTTTGTGTTGTTGGAATCTCAGGTCCATGCTATAGGGGTATGTCGCTGATTAGGGAAGACCCAGCCTGAGAATGTCAGTAGTGACCGCTGGGCCTGCCTGCCGGCAGCATGAGTCTCCCAAGCACTAGTCTGCAATCCCTCTCCTCAGTGCCCAGGGAGAGCACCTGTTGCTGAGGCTGCATGGTGCCCTGAGATAGGCACAAGCTCTGGAATCACTGCCTGTGTACTAGCCTCAGCCGAGTGAGCTTGATCTTGTTGTGCCTCTGTTTCCTCATCTGTAAAATGGGGCTCACAATAGCTCTATCCTATAGGATTGTGTGAGGATTAAGTGAGCCAATTTTTATAAATCAGCAGGCGCAGTATCTGAATCATAGTATATGTTCAATAAATATTTGGGCATAATGTTGTCATTATTATTATCATTAGTAGTAGTAATAGTAGTATGTGTGCCAAGGGACAGAACTCTCATAACCAGATAAAGATTGAGAAGTCAAATCTCTTTTAAAAATTAGAGAAATGAGCCGGGCTCGGTGGCTCAGCCTGTAATCCCAGCACTTTGGGAGGCTGAGGTAAGTGGATTGCCTGAGCCCGCGGGTTTGAGACCCGCCTGGGCAATTTGGCGAGACCTCATCTCTACAACAAATAAATAAATAAAATTAGCTGGGCGTGGTAGCGCACGCCTGTAGTTCCAGCTACTTGGAAGGCTGAGGCGGAAGGATCACTGGGGCCCAGCAGGTCAAGGCTGCGGTGGCCGGGAGCAGCCACTGCATGCCAGTCTGGGCAACAGTGAGACTCCAACTCAAAAAAAAAAAAAAAAAAAAATTAGAGAAATGACTCTTCAGACTCAAAGCAAAGATGAAAATGATAATATATTCAGAATCCAGAAATAAGCTACAGAGAAGCGAAATAAGGAATACCAGGCAAGGGGCACATATGCCAGGGGGATTCAGGGGCTCATGGGAGATCATACGATGAGCTCCCCTTGTGAAAGAGCAAATGAGGGGTCTCGTGTGGTCCGGTCCATGGCAGGAGGTGAACCCCTGGGGAGACCACCAAGTTTGATCAGTCTCTACCCTCCATTCAGTCCAGCTTCACATGCCCTTATTAAGACCTACCTCAGGCAAGGCTCCTTCAGTGAGGAGCAGAACAGGGTTTTGAAAGAATCTGAAGAAACTAGACAGGATCCAGAGATGAACAGCCCACATAATTGCAAGGAGGGAAATAGCTCATAATGAAAAAAGATTTCAAAAAACTAGAATTCTTACACTTGTGTGAAAAAGGGAAAACCACTGGGCAATTTACCTGCCTTCAAGAAGGAGAATATTCTGAGGACAGACTAAAAAGTGGCCCATGACAGAGGCCGAGCCCTGGCTTGCAGTAGTCTCCTAACTGTCCTCGTCTCCTGTCTGCCTGGCTCTCAGCCATCTACCCACCATTGCAGTAAATATGTGTCAGGAAAGAGACAGAGTCCCCAAGGTGGGAAGATTTGACTTGGAGGCTTAGAGGACTCAGCCTTAGGACTAAGAGGCTTCACCAGGGTGTCACTTGGAAGAACATGCACTAGCTTGGGGCAAGAAAAGAGAGTTCAAGTCTGGACTCTGCTTCTAACTTTCTGTGTGTCCCTGAACAAGTCACTCAACTTCTCTGAGTCAGCCCTGAATATTCTGGGTTTCTGAATCAAAATTGCATCAAAGATTCTCAAAGTTCTTCATTGTGTCTACTGAATTAAGAATTAGTCCCTGCCGAGCTCGGTGGCTCAGCCTGTAATCCCGCGCCTTTGGGAGGCTGAGGTGAGGGGATTGCCTGAGCCCGCGGGTTCGAGACCCGCCTGGGCAGCGAGACCTCATCTCTACAA